AATACAGCCTTTGCTTCTCCAGATTGAGAAGTCACAGCTGCGATGGCTTGGGCATGTGTTGCCCTTGCCTCCAGAAAGGAAGGCTGGGGCAGGATTGGGCATGATGGAAGCATTGATGGACGCATCTGAACAAAACGATGACGATCGTCAAAAGTGACCGGCAGAGGTACTACCGACCGACTGATTGAAGCATAATCTGGCATCAGTCTTACGGAAAGAAAAACGTACCAAAGACTAACCTTCACTTTGGAAGTGCTGTTGAGGAAAACGTCACATTAAAATGCATTCAGCAGATGTGTCTGTTCGTAGCTCATTCTACTAGTCTGAATGCGGAAAATCTCACCTTCACACCACGTTCAAATATGTAGAAAAAACTTGCTTTGGTTTCTGTGCCGACGGTAGAAATTTCTGTGGCACACAACATTTTGGATGCAACGTATTGCATTGTGCTTGAACATAATTCATGGTTTACTACCGACATCATTGTTTTTTGAAGAACGCCAGTATCGAGGAGCACATCTCCGGCTAAACATTTAAAACAATGCCTGAGAATAAAACAATCATTAAGACGTACTGTAAGTCGCCAACATTAGCGACATTCCAATTTCTGCATGTTGGCTGGCAATCTCACAGTACTGCACCGAAGCTGAATCTGTCAGTGCAGAATCCAGCTGTATCAAAGCGATATCGTTTTCGGCTTGGCCCTCGATGAAGCCATCATGGATTGCAAATGCCCGTATTCGAGACCACCCTTCAACGTGCGCCGCTGCGATATCGCGCGCCCCAATTGCTATCAGAATTTCGTCGAGCGTGAATAAGTGATTTATTCGCGATGGAGGCAGACGTCTTCATAGGAAGTTTACTTCACTTGACAATCATGAATAATTGTGAATTAACTAAGCACCGGGTTTTAAAATGAGTAGTAATTGAAATACTATACTTGTGGTAATAAAAAATTTTAGAATTGCGTTACCGATCTACCCAATTTGGCATTAACCATGCCTGCGGAAGTTGGGCTATTTACTTTTGCAGTGCTGGAATGGGGTTAGCATGTTGCTACAAACGCTTAAGCAGCCTACCACCGTGTGCCACAGTGGTTTTTAAGACTCTGCCGTCGTGTATGCGAAAACAAACCTGCACTTTTTACACCCGCTCATACGAAGATCTTTTTTAAAAATTAATGGAAAATATGTAATCGATAAACGAGTCTTTGAATATGCGTGCAATATCGTTACCAGCTCTAGCAGATAAATTCATCCAACCGGAACCTAGTCGCTGAAAAGCCAACTTAAACGACCGGAAGTGCAACCTATCAAAGAAGCAATTGGATGCTTTAGTCCTCAAAATGAAAAGATGAAATCTGCCGCCTTCGATAATGACTCAGAGTGGTGCATGTCAGAGTAACTTAAGAGTAGTAGTGCATGGCAGAGGAGCGGGACTAGCTGGTGAGGACGGATTGAACCGCAGCATTGAAAAATTGGCCAAGTAGAGCGTATAATGGTGATACTGGGTGAATACAGCTTTCATGCAATGCAATGGAAAATTTAGTTTCTCCTCCCGGTCATGGTGTGTCGCATTCTCGTATGAAGCAACATCAAAAAATCGCTGAGGCGATTAATTTGCTGTCGCTTTATGACAACTGGTAGTTCTACAGTAAAGTGTCATCCGCATATCTGCATTCTTTGGAGTAGTACAAAAAATTCAATGTTACTTCTCTGTCTGTTGAATAATTTTTAAGAAATTTATAATCATGAGCTCATTTTGATCAACTGATAGATGAAGGCAGCT